CCCGACAAAAAAAAAAAAAAAAAAAAAAATCAGCCAGGGATTGTGGTGCACGCCTGTAGTTCCAGCTACTTGGAAGACTGAGGTGGAAGGATCCCCTGAGCCCAGCAGGTCGAGGCCGTGGTGACCGTGAGCATGCCACTGCATTCCAGCCTGGGCAACAGAGTGAGACTCCAACTCAAAAAACAAAAAGAATTTTCGAAACCTGGGTAGTTCCCATACTCCCCCACCCCAGCCCTCTCTGCCTTAGAATGGGCAACCTATTCTGCTTTCTCTTCCCAGCTTTGGGGTGTCACCAAGCAAGGCTACCGCTGTCGGGGTGAGTGGGGCATCAGCGAGTGGGAGGGAAGCCTCTGCCTCCAGGTTGGAAGCATGGAGGGCGCCGACGGGGCCCCTGGCCATTAACCACTGCCTTCTCCCAGACTGTGGGCTGTGTTGCCACAAGCACTGCAGGGACCACGTAAAGGTGGAGTGTAGGAAGAAGCAGGGGACCAAGGGTGACGTCCCACCCACGCCTGTTCCCCACGCCGGCTGTGGTAAGCCCCAGCACATGGCAGTCCTGGGGAGGGGCCTGGTGGATGGGGATTAAGTCCAAAGTCGTGAGTCTCTTCCCGTCATATCCCCATCCCTTCCACCCATCATCCCAAAAACAGGCTCTGAGGAAAATCTCTCCTACACACTATCCCTGGACGCTGAGACTGGGAGCCACCTTCGCCATGCTTGGACCCAGACAGAGTCCCCACACCCTTCCTGGGAACCAGAGACGGTGAGGAGAAACTGCCCTTTCCCCTAACAGATTCAGGGGAGTCAGGCCATTTGCCTGGGGAAACCAGCAGACTTGGGAAAGCATGGGAAAGTAGAAATATGCAAAAGTCCTTGGTAGCTTGGGTGGGAGGGCATAGATACTGGTTAATTTTTAATGTTGCTAGAAAAACAGAAGTTTCAGTATGTTGGGGAAGGGAAGGGGGTTAACCACTAGTCAAACAGAAAAAGGATTTAGGGACAAAAGCTGGTGAGATGGCAAGAATAAACCCAAATGTGTCAGAAGCTACAATAAATGTTAGTGAAATAAATTTCGCTATTCAAAGGCAGGGACTCTTAAATTGGGTTAAAAAACAAGTCCAGGGGATACTTACCCATCACTCCACATCCAGTCTGGGCGGGGCAGTGCAGTGTCTCCTAGACATCTTGTGCTGCCGCCATCATCCAGTGTCTTCCTCCTTCCAGATCCCCTGTCCAGCGACGACCCCACCATCCACCCCTTCCCTCAAGCCGGATTCCTAGACATCATCTTGGTCTCCTCTCTCCCTCACTCCCTTCTCCTAGTCAGTGCCAAGTCCTGCCATTGGCCTCTAGCAGGACTCCCAAAGACATTGCTCCCCCCACCTCACCCCCATCTATACGTCCATCATCTCTTACCCTGAAAGTCATTTTCTCTTGCATCGTGGTGGGTACTAATCATACTCCCTTTTCCTGCACTTAGTATCTGGGCAACTCCACGTTGGAAACATTTAGACCCCCAGGCATCATCTCACCAACTCCCTCAAGTTCCATCTCACAGATAGAGAGACCAAAGTTCCGTGAGTCAAGTTACCAGCCCACAGTGGCAGAGCCCCCAAGGTTGGAGGCAGAACTCAAACTTAGGTCTTCTGTCAGCCTTTAAAACTGAAGCTCCTGACTAGTGTGCTACATGGCAGTCAGCATGGGTCAGGCGGAGCGAGGCTCCAACAGGGAGAGACCCAGATGCTGGGCTTCCGGAGATGGGAGTGAAGGCTGAGAAAGGGGTCTGGGGGACGGCCAGGGAGCCCATGAACACCTGAGTCAGAGCACATGCCTCTTCTGCTCAGTCTTCCCACAAAGCCCCGCACGAACTGCCCCGTCATCTCTCGGACCTGGCCTCCCCTCCCCCCACCTCCTCACTCATCCTGCTTCAGCTATACTGGCCTCCACGTTTCCTGAACGTGCCCCAAATACTCCTACCTCAGGGCCTTCGCACCGGCTGTTCCCTCTGCCTGGAACTCTCCCCCAGTGGCCCCCTGGCTCCCTTCTTGGGACTTTGCTCAAGCCGCACCTCCTCAGCGAATCTTCGCCTGACCACACTCAAGATGCCACTCCCGCCATTCTGAGTCTGCCTTCCACTTTACTATTCTCCACAGAACATTCCCCATTTTTACCTGTTTACCTTGTTTCCTGTCTGCCCTTCCTCACAAGGAATGTCAGCTCCAGGGGGGCAGGGGTTTTTATATGTCTTTCACTGTTGTGTCCCCAGTGCATGGAACCGGGCTGGCACATGGTGGGCACCTGACAGGTGTGCATGACGCCTGAATGCGTCCTTCCTCGTGCCCACGGGAAGCCAAAGACGTGGTGAAGGGCAGAGGGCTTTTCGGGTCGAGTAGCAGGGGCCTGTCCAGACCCAGGGAGCAGAGACCCTCTGTCCCTCCACAAACCCAAGCACCCTGACCTGGCCCCTACAGAGACAGATCCTACAACTGTCATAAATTAAATTTATTTTCCAGAGAACACGGTTCCTGGCGTTGACTGGTAGATGAGGGTAGGACATTTGGGGCCTCAGGTGCAGGAGGTGGGGGGGCTGGGGTGCTGAGGGAAACCCTGAGACTCCCCAAAGATGTCCAACAGCATCAGCATCTCCTGGAGGATTCCCCCCCACAACCACCGGTCCCCTTTACTTCTTCTTCTTGCGGCCCCAGCCCTGGCGGCCTGTCTTTCGCCCTCCTCCGTCTTCTCTTCGGCTCCGCCAGCTGGGCATGGGGGCCTCCAGTTCATTTGGGCGGCCCCCCCGGTCAGGCACGTTGCCCATAAGCACCTGAGAGGTGATTAGACTTGAGCCTCAGGGAAGAAAATATTTTGGACAAGGGGTCGGAGAGCAAAGGGAACGGCTCGAGGGTGAAGAAGGAAAGGTAGTGATGTTGATGATCTGAATACAGCGGCTGGGGGAAGGGGACTGCGTCGGGGGAAGATACACATGGAGCTTCCCCTCTGGCTTCCACAGGCCTCCACGAGAGGGAAATAAAGGGGGAGAGTGACAGCAGAGGTCCTGGTCCTCACCCAGAATTAACAAGGGCACCCCAACCCTGCCTAGTCTGTATATGGGGTTTTATATAGCATTTCTAGCAAACCAGTGTTTTTTTTTTTCTAAATATCTATCAATGGGGTATCACCTATAATATTATTTACTTACTATAGTTCCTTAAATCGCTTTTTTTCTTAACTTCAATTTTTCCCTTACTCTTTGCTGTGCTAGACTTTATTCCTTAATGCTTGCTTACATACATAGAAGACTGCTTAGAGAGGTATCAGACTAGACACCTAATCATTTGAACAGAGAGTACTTGTTTTTAAAAAGTTAGAAACCGAGCCGGGCTCAGTGGCTCAGCCTGTAATCCCGCACCTTTGGGAGGCTGAGGTGAGTGGATTG